GGCTTCTTCTTGCGGTGTCTTCGCACTATTGGGGTACGGAGACTTAATAGCACGTGCACGCCATCTGATGCGTGAACTCTGTCGTGCAAGAAAAACCCGACGTAAAGCATCCACCTTATCGGTCCGCTAAATAATTAAATACAAATATCAGTAAATAAACAGACATGATATTTAAACAGTGAAAACAAAGACAAATATATTTCAAACTTTCAACCAAAAGACAAAACAAAGACAAATACTAACTTCACAGTGTTAAAGAATACACAGTTTAGCAGAATTGGCAGCAACCGAATAAATTTACTTCAACCAAAAGACAAAACAAAAAGACAAATACTAACTTCACATTGTTAATAAACAGTTTAGCAGTATTGGCAGCAACCGAATAAATTTACTAAGCAATCTAAGTGAAATGGTTAATTTAAGTGAAATTACGAGTAAATTTATCATCAAGTTAAATATGGAAAATCTTAAACTTACCTCGTTGTGTAGAGTATGAACCTCATTCTGCAACGATACTACCATATCACGTAGAGCGGCAACCTCACCACGTAAAGTAGACACCTCCACACGCCATGCACCATCGTTATCGCGTAGAGTACCGATCTCCTCACGCAAGGCATTGACCTCATCACGTAACTCCCTTGACTCATCCCGTGGAGGTGGAGAACAGGGAGATAGAAGTCGTGGCATCTTTTCCGGTCGCCTATCATGAGGTGATGGTGGAGAAAGGCTCGATGATGTGACGGGATAGGTGATGGCTCTCGTTGTAGGTGTATAGTCGGGTCGATCAGGTGATGGCTCTGGGTGAGGTGATGGCTCTCGAAGTGGAGGAAGTGGAGGTTGCTCATCATTCGTGCCATCAAGAAAATGCTGACTAGCTTGCCACCAATCAGTGGCAAGCTCAGCCTCCGTGGGTGTCAGTCTCATTAATGGAATGTTGGCCTCCTAAAAATATAAAACTCAAACAAAGTTAAACGTCTACTATTAATAACTTGTTTATATATGATAGTATTTGTGTTAACTTACATTATTTATTGTCGCATATGGTATTAAGTCTTCCCAATCTAACAGACGTTTCCTCTTCCAGGAAATAGCCCTGGGAATATCATTTGAAGTTTTTATTACATATGTCTTCATGGCGGGAAAGGCCTCGAATATCCAAATCTACAAACAATATAATAACAAACATTAGTAATTGTTAAATAATTAATTATAATTTTGAAAACATTATATAGAAATTCTTACCTTAAAGGCCCAAACAAAGCCTGACAAAGTGTATTTCGACCCATCGCCCCGCAAACTTTTGCGGTCATCAAAGGCAGACGACAACTTAGTCCAGGTAGCTTTCCATATATACGAACCCCACGGAAACAGATTCCATGCATTTAGGTCCTCTACCAATAATATTAGCTCCTGAGGAATAGGTTGTCTGGCCTCTCTACCTAAAAAGCCGGCATACAAAAGTAGTAGAAGGCATACTCGGACAACATCGACGTCATTCATCCGAGTAAAATCATCTTTCTTATTAAACAATTTCTTCATGTCGTCGACGTGTAAGTTCGGCTTCTCTATTGACTCATCAGGAAAAACCCTGGATAACCATGATGGGCGAGTGATATGACGAGTGTACCGGCCTACATCATCGTGTCCGAATCGTAGACCAGTGATTAGCAGAACTCCTTCCGCCCAAAACAAGTATACGCCGGTGGAAAATGAAACCATATCTCTTCCTCACCACGTTGTATACTGTCGGGTAGATCGCTAGTCATGGTCTGAAGCCACAAATGGGTCAAATTAGCATCTCCACCCGGATGCTGTACTCTCAGCCATGGCCCGAAGCAGGTTTCCTCAAACAATTTTCTTTGTGCAGGTGAAAGCTTCGAAGCAATTGTAGTGGCTCGGCTAACTTTATTCCTTAATGTCAATGAAGCCGAAAAAAATTTCTACAAAAACAATAAACATACCAAGTTAGATATACCAAAAACTACACTGTCAAGATATACCAAAAACAATAAACATAAATAGTAGTTTATTCTTGAAACTAAAATTTGCAACACTGTTTTGTCTTTTGGTTGAAATGAAAATCGCAACGAGATAATGAGAATCGCAACGCGGAAATGACTATCGCAACGAGAGAATCGCAACGCGAAATGACTATCGCAACGAGAGAATCGCAACGCGAAATGAAAATCGCAACGCGAAATGAAAATCGCAACGAGAGAATCGCAACGCGAAATGAAAATCGCAATGCGATTTTGGTTTCGCGCTGCGATTTTTATTTCGCGTTGCGATTCTCTCGTTGCGATAGTTATTTCCGCGTTGCGATTTTCATTCTCGAAACTATTCTTCTTCTGCATTACTTCAACCAAAAGACAAAACAAAGACAAATACTAACTTCACAGACTAAACAGTTTAGCAGTATTGGCAGCAATCGAATGAATTTAATAAGAAATCTAAGTGAAATGGTTAATCTATTATTGAAATTACCAGTAAACTTATCATCAATCTCAATATGAAAAACCTAAAATAATGCAAAAATTTCAAAATAAAAATAAAACAAAACTAACCCTCGGAGGTTGATTTTCCATTTCTGAATGATCGTGAGGGATTTTTGACTGTGAATGGTTGTGAGGGATTTCGCCGGCGATGGGGACGGAAATCTTCGGAGATGGGGACGGATTTCGCCGTAGAGAGTGAGAGATGGAGATGTGACTGAGTGTTGTGATTTTAGGTTTGAGGTTATGAGTTGCGATTACTGTGGACGGTTCAGTTTCCGATTTATTAAGAAAAAATTCGTGTTTGGAATTTGAAAAAAAATACGCGTTAATGCGAATGGCGCTATGTAAATCGCATTGCGATAGTAAGATTCGCATTGCGATTTACGTATTCGCGTTGCGATTTTCCTAATTCGCATTGCGAATTATGAAAATCGCAACGCGAATACGTAAATCGCAATGCGAATTTGGAAAATTGCATTGCGATAGTCAGTATCGCATTACGATTTTCCCAATTCGCGTTGCTATTTACTTATTCGCATTGCGAATTGGGAAAATCGCAACGACACTGTAGACCATCGCAACGCGATTTTCAACTATCGCAACGCGAAATGCAACGTGAATTTGCGATAATGGAGATCGCGTTGCGAATTAGCGATCGCATTGCGATTTTGTTGGTCATTTTGGCAAATTCGGAAAAAGTTGGTTAAAATCGTATATTATATGGGATTTTTGGTCACTGAGGTTATTTTCTCTAAATAAAATTAAGAGATCCTAGGTTTAGTTGCTTTTCCAAATAATCTCTAAACTTAAAGTTATTCCTTTACAACTTCTAATTCATTGTACAAACCATCATAATTTCATTCAATTACTGACTTTTTACCGCATTCAGATCGAGTGTAGGAATTAATTAACTACTCAGATAAGACCAAACATTTTCTTCTTCATATATTTATCAATATTAACATGTTTCATAAAGAATAAAGAGGTAGTAATGTATTACCTAGATTTTCGTGCTATACTGATTGATCATTTAAACTCAATTCGAACGCCCTCAATCTTGAAATCAACGTCCAATATTTTTTTAGATACATAACAACAGAAATTTCATCAAAAACGGAGTTTAATTCTGAAAAACGGATCGAATCGGGTGATAAATCAATGAAAAACAGCTTATCGGGTTCGAATTTGGTGAAACAGACTTCAGAATCGGACTCAATACGTCGAAAAACGTCAGGATAGGTATACCTGGAAAAAGTCAACGGTCAGTCAATGGCGGTCAACGGATCGGGCAGTCGGGTCAGACCGGGTCGGGCCGGGTCGGGTCAAAACTGTCCACCATGCGGTGGCCTACGGACTCCGAAAAATTCCACAAAAATTCCAAAAATTATTTTAAGGGATTTTGAGACAATTACCAAGCTCGGTTCACAATTTTGAACGGCGGAGAGTTCGATTCCGAAACGTCAAAAACTTAAACTTCCTCACCCCTTCACGCGCAGGCGACGAGGAGACAATAAGAACATCGGTGGACTCGGAACGATGCAAAGAACACGAAGGTGCGGGAGATGTCGAAATCGGGTGGCCAGATCGACCTGAATCGACGGAAAACCAATAGCGATCAAGTTAAAACCGATGATACTTTCGGTTGAGATTTACGACGAACGATGTCGATTCATGACGAGAGATTTGAGGAGGTTTGTTCATCGATCGACAACGAATACAATAGTGGTTTCGGATCGACGAACGATGGTCGGACGGTGGATAAATCAAGGCTCAAAGTAGTTGATCGAGGGAGAGGAAATGAGAAACATTATAGGAAAACAGACAGGGCGGGATTTATAATTCTCATATAAAGAAAAATGGATAAATTATGAGTTTAGTCCTCGAATTCCTAAACTTCCTAAAATAATCTACCAACTTTGCGATTTTACATTTTAATCCTCAATTTCTTCCAAAATATCACTTAAATTCAATATTTTATAACTTCTAAAATTTAACCCCTAATTTGGAGTGTGACATATAAAGAAAATATATAAATTAGATAAGAATTTAAAATTTTCAAGGGAACGATGTCTTCAATCCCTCCAGTCCATTCCTGGGTGGGATTAGATCCAATGCCCAAAGAATGCCTCCTACCAAGGTCATCCATAATTTGTCCCGGGCCTTGCGGATGACAATGGAGGATTTAGCAGTAGAAAAGATGGTGAACAACGGGGTAGGATTGGTCACACCAGAGATAGGCAACGATATGTATGAAGGGTTTCGCTCGAACCATTCGATTATGGGCCACTTACAGTCTCCCCTGCGACAATGTTAGCCGGAACAAGCATTGAATTTGCTCCCATCGGACGTGCATAATTCAGGGGGCGCAATTCAGTCAATGGCAGTGGATGATGGTGAGGATTGGAGTGAAAGAAAGTGAAGAAGCCAGTGGCCTGCAGAATTGATGGGGCTCTGGCCGAGTTCAATTATGATGAGCAGATTATCACATTTGAAACAACCAAATAATAAGCTTTCTAAAATTACATTTATTCTATAATTCGAACATATCAATGTTTACATACGAGTAAACTTATGGAATACCATGATTTCCCAATGCAGATAGAAAGCAGCCGACAAATCAGGAACGGATACAAGTATCATAGAAGTATTTCATCTTGAACGCTGACATTTAGCGTTTTGTTCGGAAGAACGATGCTGTTGGTGACTACTACTTCATCTTCAACAGCCACTGCTTCTCCTGTAACAGACATCGGATCGAGCATCGTGATTAACAAGTTACCTCTGCCAAAGGAAATGCAAATGATAAAAGGGATTATTTGAAAAGTACCAAGAATTGTGATTCCGAGTTTGGCATTATAGTCTCCTTCAGCCTGCAACAAGTAGATTTGAATTAGCACAAAACGGGCAGGTAAACGAGCAAGAAAGAGAATGAAATATTCGTTTATCAACTGATTTTGGGAAGAGACAATCTTGTAAGAAATTTATCAAGTGAGGCACTAGTTGACATAAAAGATCTCATAATTCAATCATGATGCCAGTATGCACCATCAGTCTAGAGAACATTCAACCTATGTAAACTGGACTTGGAGTGTGTGTCGGATATAGCTATGAAGCCCAGTCAGATATGCTCTATGTTTCAGTCATAAATAACATGTAAAACTTGCCTGAACACGAGACCATTTCCCGATAGAAGACTTCCACCCTAAGATTGCATGAACAACGACAGAATTTTCCTGAGAACAGAATAAATGAGTCATTAATAGGAACAAAGAAAATCAATATACATGTGTCGGATTCAAGGAAACCTCAGGAAATGTTATATATACCGAATGAAAAACATTGAATTTGGTTGCATACCATGATTTCAACACCATCAAGAATGATACAACTGATGAGCCTTACACCAGCTCCGATACGAGCATTAGCAGATATTGAAACATTGGGGCCGATCTGTTTAACATGTAGCAGATTAATCAATCCCATAGACTATGCAGACAACAATGAAGAAAGAGAATGCTCAACTCTGCATTTAAGGAATGGCAAAAAGCATATAAGTTTCAGAAATACTTAATCAACAACTTAAAGTGGGCCATTGGTAGAACTACGACAACAAGAGGGTACAATATCATCTACAATTCCATGAATCAAACGAAAACTTTATAATAGTTGAATTACATAGAGAAGCAGCACTTAACTCTACACAGCACATTATGATTAAAATGTAATGAAAATATGTTACCTTGGCACTTGGATGAACTTTTGCTGATGGATGAATATAAACATCTCCTATAATGGTGGCATTTTTTGTACCATCCCCACTAGCCAAAAGATTGGGAGAGGTGAACCGAAATTGGGCAAGATACAGAGCAGAACACTTTAAGGACATTCTGCAGATATAAACATGGAAAAATTAGGCTTATAGTCGAAGGGGAAACTTATACTTGCCCTTTTCATTTCGTTATACAATTCCTACCTCGGTCTTTTTTTAAAAATTAGTTTCCATGTTTTTTTCTAAAAGGTAATTCAAAAACTAGGGGCAAAATGAAGACGGGGAAGAAAACCAAGGTGACAATCTGGCTTACCCCGGGGTTTTGATCTGTTCCCAGAAATCCATGGTCTCATATGTATACAACTGCTTCTTCCCTGCAAAAGGCGTCAGGATGTCTTGATCCAACCTTACAAAACCTGATGGAGGATTCCTGATAAAAGGTACTTTTATTAGGATACAAGTTGAGGATCCAATGTAAATACGAGCATTTCTCTATGTAAATATGCCAAAAGGTGGGGACAACCAGTACTAAAAATCATAATACAGGTTAAAACTGTTCAATGGAGGTAGAAATGAAGTGATATAAACAGAGTTAAATTTTACTTGTGTGCATCATGAAGACAATCAAAGAGAAACGAACAGAGCATGCACCTAATATGCTGTGATGCTGTAAAAGCAAGAAAAGTATAGACATACCTTGTAGCAGACTGGAGGGCTTCAAAGCTGGAAAGACGTCTCAGATTGGCTAGAGATAGCAAAATATGAACTCAGATCTTAGCACAATGAAGATTAATGATATTCAAATATAGCAAGGATATGAGCAAAGGATGATTTTCTATTGGATATTGATGTCGAAAAATGGCATAACCTCAAATGGAAAAACAAAATTTAACAATTAAAATAGTACACGAAAAAGTAGAGGAGGCTGGTGCATTCAGGTTATGTCTCCACTGAGCACATAGCCGTAGCAACTTTGAAATTACAAACACAATTCAAAGATCATTTATCACCAACCTCTGTCTTTCCGTTGAGAGGAAACACCTTGGATAGCAGTAAAAATATCTGGTGTAAACACATACACACCGCAGTTGATTCGGTCACTTACCTGCATTATAGCGAGTAATTAGAGCAGAGCATCTATTAAATTCAATCAGTCAAAGGTGACAACAAATAGTGAATTCGCCAAATTGTAGCTGAATTTCTGATCATACAAAAGTTTCAGGTTTCTCTGTATAATGTAACAGTTCATTGGTGACTGGATCTGCTACCAACTCCCCGAACTGACTGGCTGACTCAGCTGAAACCTGCAAAGAGCGGAGAATGAGACCAAACAACAACAATACTAAAAATAATAAAAGATCACACGTTGAAGAAATTTCATTATGTGGACATCTTGCAAGTCTGCCAACCAACCTTGCTTACTAGGATAGTCCCCATGCCACCATATCTTTTGTGAGCCTCTACAAAGGCAAAACAACAGGTAAAAGGAAGAAGTGATCCTCAAGAAAGAAAAAATAAACCAAAATAAACCTTGCAGTAATTTTATAGTGCCATGCATAGCATGATAGCAGCAAGAAACTCAGTTCAGAAAATTAAAATTGATACTATTACATGGTTCAAACATTGTAAAGATGATTACCGAGCATTTCTGGGAGTGGAAAACTGCAGCAAACATCACAATTCAGCAAGAAGATATGAGACTGTTAAAAGAACAGCACACAACACATCTAACTTTGTAAGTCAAAGTGAAGTATGTATGGACAAACAGTGCAGATTGCAGCCTGTGCATTCCGCTCTACAAAAGATAGAAAGATATGCCTCTACTAAGGAAAAGGGTTAAGATATAAACCGGATTGTCTTCCATGATCAGATCTCTGAAGTTGTAAAGCCCCCCAGCAGAACCACGTGGCTTATCTTCCTTTAAGTATCTAATAGCAGCATAAAAAAGGAGGATCACCATTCACCACTCAGATGAAGCAATCATAAAGGCAAGGATTTACCTAACTGGAACTCTTAGCTCAGTAGAGATTGATGACACATACAATGTGAATTCACGCTCCTCATAGAAACCGACTAGATAAATCTGGGCTAGATTTGGAATCTACAACAGAGATATTAATCTTAATAAACACCAGAACTATAAACAAAAAGAGTATATTTTATGTCCTGTTAGTATTGATCAAACATTGTACCCTTTTACAAGCAGAAATCGGGTGATGAACCATAGGTTGTCCGGCCAAAGGAAACAAAGGCTTCGGAATGTTCAATGACAGCGGACGAAACCGAGTGCCTGCAATATGCAAAATTCGGATTGATTAAATGTTAAAGCTTCGTATTGGATGAAAATGCTAGATTCAAAGGGAAAAAATAAATGCATTTTTTTTCCTTCCAAATCTCAAATTGACTTCAAATTGTGAACATAAATGAAAAAAACAAACACAAGATCACATCACTCATTGCAAACAAACTCCATATCCAATCCAAATAACCCATAACATTCAAGATTAAAAAAAAATCACCATAAAAACTTTGCATAACTTTTCAAAGATCAAGGTCATACCTTTAGTGGGCCCACCCGCCATGATCACAGCAACAACTTTCCCGTCTGAGCTCCCCATCTTCAAATCAACAAAAACCCAGATCTCCAATAACAACAATTTCCCAAACAAACTATTATATAACACAAAAAGAAAAAGAAAAAAGGAATACCGTTTTCTAAAAAACTAACAAACAAAGTAAATTCACATCCAAAACATGACGCTGATGTATAATTTCGACGAGAATTCAGTTATTCGCTACCAACCAAATAAGTTCGCAGCAGCAGTGACTAAAATGTCTGAACCTTGTAAAGTAAAAAGAAAGAAATGTTTGAGAGGTAAATAATGTAAAACAGAGGAAGCAGTTTTCTTGAAGATCCAGTAAAGGGTGATGAGTCAGATAAATGAGAAGAATTTGGGATATATATCCGAGGATGAGACAGACACCACTCGATTACGACAAGTAAGCTAAAAAATATAAGAAAAACGAATGAAAATAAAAGCATCAAACTATATAAATCCATTAGGCCAAACAAAGGAAGTTTCCCCATTTCGTGCTTCGCCCAGCTTAATGACATTGTTTTGGTACTGAAAGAGACCGTACATAACAATTTGTCTGATTTTCTTCCCTGGCGTGCTTTCATTCTTATTTTTGGGTAAACTATAAATTTAAACACTCAACTTTACTTTCATTCCTATTTGGTCATTAAAGTTTATTTCTTTTTATTTTTTCATTCAACTTTCGAGTTACTCTTGTTTTGATCACTCATCCGTCAAATAGTTAACTATGTTATGACATGAAATACACCAAAACGTCCTTATTAAAATTGACACCAAAACAATATATTTTATATTCTTATAATTTTTTTCTTTTTTTTCTTAAATTACTTGGTTTCAATCATTACTCGTCACAACCCATCATCATGTTGATCATCATCAACCATCTTTGATTACCATCGATATCCTAATTTAACAAAATTCATAGTGATTAAATGTCAGAGCATGAATCATGCTTATGGTAGTGTATTTGTCGGATAATTCGAGCCATCTTGGTCGAAGAGCATAAAATTTTGAAGAAAGCTCTAAAGATACAAAAGTGAAAAGTCCAAGCAAAATCAAGCGTGACAATGTTACTTAATTGGTATTTTTTTAACGACGTCTACGATATAGACAATTAGAAGTGTAACGAATAAAACATTAGAAATATATTTTTAAAGAAAACTTCTTTAGGCACTTAAAATTAACTTAAGATATAGTTTGGATATTTATTTTTGCATTAAGCCGTATTTTTATTGTTTTACAAAAGTCTTTTTAAAATTTAAACCAAAATCATATAATATTTGAATTGAAGTATAATTACAAGTAATTATATTTGTGTAAATATTTGGTCAAGCAATTTAATTAAGTCTTTAATTGAAAACAACATCTAAATAAGCCCTTTAATTATGAATTACAATCAATTAAAGATATTAAAGTTGAAAATATTTAACACAGAAAAAAAATATTTTGGACATTTATTTTTTTCAAGTTAATTGCATTATACATCCCCAAGTTATGATTCTTATCTAAATTGGTCTCTAAACTTTTGAACATTTTAATTTCATTCTTAAACTATAACTCTTATTATAAATTGGTCCCCTAACTTTTGAACATTTCAAATTCATCCTCAAACTATGAACCTTATTCTAAGTTAGTCCCCAAACTTTTGAACATTCCAATGATATCCCCTTAAATCATCCAAAATTTCAAAGTTAAAATTAGAATATTTAAAAGTTTGTGGATTAATATAGAATGGGGGTTATAGTTTAGGGATGAATTTGGTATGTTCAAAAGTTTAGAACCCAATTCAAAATAAGGATCATAATTTTTCATTAAGCCTATTTTTTATAAATAAGTTTGGAACTAAAATATTTTAGTAAATCAATAAAAGAAAAAAAAAACAGTATATTTGAGGAATAAAGCCCATCATTTATAGTCAGCTGAAACGGAAGTGTATATATAATGCAGTTTTTCTTAGTTGAGATGTAATTGTCGTGTTGCTGAGATCGCCGGCCGAGAATTTGTCGCATACTCTTTGCCGAATCTGCTGAATCTCATCATCTGCTTCAATGATTCCATTTCAGTTTTATAAGCAGAATTGCCTCCCTCTCACCTCCATTCCCTTTCTTCCTCTTAACTCTTCTCAAACTCCCTCCCCTTCCATGGATTCTCCGCGTCCAATACATTTCCGAACTTCTCCAAATTCAAGACCGCGAGAGAGCTCCACCTTCTCTCCAGGTTGCGGCGGCTTGTGCCGTTCTCCATCGCCTGATTCCTTCTCACTCTTCCGCCTTTGAATTCCGTATCATTTCTAAGGTTCTTTTAATTTCTGTCTCTTCGTTTCCACTATGTTTGGCCGCGTATATTGTGAATTGAAGGGTTAAAATCTCTCTCTTTTTGTAGGAGAAATGTGGTGGTGAAGGAGCTTGTTTCATTATCAACAACCATCCTTCTTCTTATAAATACGGAGCTCCAGAGATTTTGTTAGTAAATATTTAATTTGTTTCACTACTTCTTGAATGTATGTATGTCGAATTGCATGCAGCATGTGTTATTCTAAACTTATATTCGCTGAATTGAGTTGTTCCTTTTATGAACCTTATCTATGTTTTCATATGGAATAACTTTAACTACTAGTTGATTATTACATTGCTTAGGGTTTTTATTTTCACATCATAATGCAGTCCTTTACTATATAGTCTTTAGAACTTAACCTATTACTAAGGTTGACAAAATTCGATTTGTCTTGAATTTTTTAAATTTAGAGTTATTCGAATCAATTCAAATTTTTAGTTCATATTTCAAGTTTGAATTTTCAAAGTTTGAAATATAAAAAAACCAAAATTAAGACGTTATTTTAGTTTTTAGTTAATTAATGATTAATTTACGATTAGTCTCTAATTTCATTGTTTCTTTAATTCCTTATTCATTTTAACTCTCTATTTTTTTTACCAAATTTGAACTACATGCTCTTCAATTAATTTAGAATATCTATGTAGCTTCAATTCCTTTTCTTGAAAAATAATTTCTTCTTTTTTGTAATTTAGACCCTCTACTTTGTATAATTTCATTGTTTCTTCACTTCCTTCTTCGTTTAAGTCTATTTTTTTACCAAATTTGAACTACATGTTCCTTTACGACTTTAGAATACCTATGTTGTTTCAATCCTCATTTTGACAACGATTTTTTTTTCAATTTATTCCTTAAAATTTGCATTTTTATTTAATTTGGTCCTTCAATTGCAAGTCTTTGCAAATTCTTTCTTCTCACCAATTCATTGACTCTTTTATGCTCTCTTCGATAATTTTTCATCAAAGTCCATTCTTTTTTGAAAAATTTACATTATATATATAATTTTAAATGATATTTGATTTATTAAATAACATTACAAATCTTACTTACACATGTGAAAAAAGTAGATGATGAAATATATATATGCATATTATATATGGTTATAGAGTGTTGCTTAAATTGGTACCAATTAGTATCATAACATTATAAATAATTACATTTAAATTTGAATAGAAACTCAAACAAATATATTCAATTCGACTCTACTCGAAAAAAATTCAAATAAAGTTTGAATGATAAATGGTTCTCGTAAACTTGACTAACTCAATTTTTTCCACTTGACTTGATCGAATACTCACCCCTACCTACTACATATCAATTCCAAGAGTTCAATTTTTAACTCAAAATGTGAGCTTATCCGGGATTTTTCAGAAAATTGTACATTTAGAAGTTTGGGATTGTAGAATTTGTAGGCAATAAATACTTCCTCTTCAATTTTTGGTCCATAACTGAAATATGTTTCGGCTCATTGAATTACATGAAACTACTGTCTAACGGTATGTCTATGTGCAATATATAGAATGATAATTACTTTTTTTGCTGACTGGTGCAGAATCAGTGGTGTCACTGGGGTGGAAGTTTTAGCTGGTCTACACTGGTACTTAAAGTATTGGTGTGGTTCACACATATCCTAGAAAAAAACTGGCGGTGCACAACTATTCTCAATACCTCAGTCAGGCTCTCTTCCTCGTGTTCAAGATAGTGGAATCTTGGTGCAGAGACTTATTCCATGGAATTACTACCAAAATGCTGTTACATCAAGCTGTGAGCTTCTGTTCTGACCGTCCCTTCTCTTCCTAATGAGTAATTAATGCCTTCATAAGTTTTTCGAAATTTTGCTTGATGAAAAGTATATGCACTTCATTTGTTTTCTTTTGGTAGATACTTTTGCTTGGTGGGGTTGGGAAAGATGGGAACAGTAAATTGATTGGATGGCTCTCCAAGGTATCAACTTGCCGCTAGCATTTACTGGGCAAGAAACCATCAGGAGAAAAGTTTTCCAGGTAATGTCATCATATAAAGTTTCTAAATTTTACTAACATAGCAAACCTTTTTTATTTTGCCTGTCTTTTCACATTTTCTTGCTCACGGAAAAGAGCTAGTTGCATGCACAACCCTCCACCCAAAAACAACTATTTTCTGAAATTCAAGTTGAACCTTATTTTATATATTCTGGGACATAACATCAGGCTTTCAAAGTTTGTAACAAGTACTATAGCTAGTGGTTAGAATGTGAACTACTGTCCCGTGCATATTGATATAGTTGTTACCATGGTATCAATTATAAAAGTTAAAACGGAGTCCTGTTATATTATATAGTTACAGATTGCTTATTTCTGCTCAATATGCATAATCAGTGTACTAGTAACAACCAGGGCTATTTTACTTTTGAATTTTCACTAATAAAATTGGAGTTAGCCTCATTGGCTAGTTAGTATACTCTGGGAAATGTTTCTAAAGTCGTGAATAATGTTCTTAAGTTGGATATTTTAGATTTCAGTATTTCTTATCTACTTTTTATCCCAAGCAGAAATTCAATATACCCAATTCCGATTTGGATGACTTCTTTGGAGGCCCTGCATTTCTTGCTTGGTCACGTATGGGGAATTTTCACAGGTAAGTAATTTGGAAAAAGTTTAGAACTCTTTTGGACTATAGACTGATTAATTTGGTTTCAGCCAACATGGTAACTCTAATGTCAAGGCCGTTTAAGAACATGCTAATAGGAAATTCTTTACCTTCCTTTCAGAGTATGGTTCTTTACTTCCCTTTGCTTTGATGATTAGAATAAACCATGTGATACGCTAGGTGGAATGTTCTTCTAATGGCCTATTCTAATAATCCCAGATATAGACAATTTGGGTTGTTATAATGGTGTTGTAATTTTGAATCTAATAAGTGGTACTTCAATGCCAGATGGGGTGGACCACTTCCAGAAAGTTGGTTTGATGGACAATTAACTTTGCAAAAGAAAATTCTTGCCAGAATGTATGAACTTGGAATGACTC